GGTAAATTAAATAAGGTGAGGTATGTTAAATGAAGTTATATAGCTTCATAAGGTGAGGTATGTAAATAAAGTTGCTCAGCTCGATAGGGTGCGGTGTGTTAATTGAAGCTGCCCGCTTTATAGAGTGAGGTATGTTTATTGGGTAAATGATGATCTTTTAAAACACTTTTGACTTTGGCGTCTAAACGCATTCTTTAACGGTGCTAATTATATAGATTAGGTATGTTAAATGAAGTTGCTCATCTCGATAGGGTGATGTGTGTTCGTTGAAATTGTTCAGTTTGATAGAGTGGGGCATGATAAAGTAAGTCAGTCTCTTAACTCAATATCATCTAAAATCTTCGACATTGAAAACACGAATTATTTGTCGGTTTAAATCAACATTGGTGGTGTGATCTTACAGGGAAAAGATGGCCTTCTGATATCCAATATTTAAGACAAAATAAACATTTTACTATTGGTACACGAATCTTGTACCATAATGCGTTTCAGCGCTATTTGTAATAAGGCACTCCAAAAACGAGGCTAGCATTTTCCACAAGTCATGTCAAATGGTAACGCCATACTCTTATCTGGAGATCCTGCGCAATAAATACTATCGGCGTAGACTGGAATAACCAGACGCTAGAGATTGCCATTCGATTGAGACTTCTGGCGTATTTCGCACAAAACCAGACCCAACTTTTCTAGTGGGTTTTAGCAACGTAAATTTACTTTGGAATGTCTAAAACTAAAAAGATCTGGCATTACAGGACCAGTAATCAATCCGCCGTTGGGGCGTTTCCGAGATATTCGGGGTTAAAAGTCAAATGAGGTCATTGACACTGAAAGTGAACACGGAGTCATTCCTGTATCATGAAAACATGCTGAAAATGATCGAACTAATCACTCTTTCAATAAAAATGTAAACATGCCAAGTTTGCCGTTTTTGCACCAAGAAGATTTAACGCAATACATATCAGCTATTCCATTGTTTTTCGAACAACTAGTTGTGAAACTAAATCGGAAAGATTTTTATTTGACTATTTTTATGTTTATTTGAAACATGTTTCGAAATGTTTTGGCCCTGTTATACCAGATCTTTTTAGTTTTAGACATTCCAAAGTAAACGTACGTTGCTAAGACCCGGTACAGATAAATTTCAAATGTACCTATTATTAATAAGAACAGGTTCGCTTTAGCTTTTATATTTTACACTGACGTGTATTGCTTTAAATCCCCCTAGTGCAAAAACAGAAAATTTGATCCTTTGACCTTCGGCGTCACAAAGAATGAATGTGAATTTAGCAAGTTTATATTCTTATTGAATGAGTGAACAGTTTCGATCATTTTCAGCATGTTTGCATGATACAAGAATGGCGCGCATTCACATTTAGTGCATAAATTACCTTATTTGACCTCTGACCCCGAATATCTCGAACACGCCCCAGCGGCGGACTGTTTACCACTCGGCAACGTATTTTAAATAAAGTTGCTCAGCTCCACAGGTTTGGGTATGTTAAATGGGTAAATGTTGATCTTTTAAAACATTTTTTGACTTATGACTTAAACGTTTAAACTGCGTAATAGAGTTCATTCTTTAATGGTGCAAATTATACAGATTAGATAAATACAATAGTCCAGCTATAAAAGAGTGGGATACGGGCATCTGAAAAGGGCAAACAATAACTACTCGATGGATTGTAACCACATTTAGTAGATACGTTGCCTGGATGTTGATTATTCAAATTTTTTTAAAAGCAGTTCAGACTCATCTTTGAGGCATCTATTCAAACCCCAAGAGAGGGGTTTAGATGGACTTTGCCTGTTCCCCAATTCCCTCAGTTTCTGAATAAATATTGTTTATATAAAAAAAAATGTGAGTAAAGTAATGGTGATTATGCCAAAACAGATCCAAGTTGTGGGCAGTGCATGATAAAAAAACAAACTCTAGCTACACAAATTTTCTCCCTGTTTATTGTTTATTTGAAGCAGTGTAAAATTTCTATGGTGTTTCTTGGCATCAGCAGAATAGTTCCAGTGAAAATGCTAAACTGAATACTGGGAGGTTCTGGGCGCCCGAAAATAAATCACAAATCAATAATTTAAGAACACGCCCCAGCGGCGGACTGTTTACCACTCGGCAACGTATTTTAAATAAAGTTGCTCAGCTCCACAGGTTTGGGTATGTTAAATGGGTAAATGTTGATCTTTTAAAACATTTTTTGACTTATGACTTAAACGTTTAAACTGCGTAATAGAGTTCATTCTTTAATGGTGCAAATTATACAGATTAGATAAATACAATAGTCCAGCTATAAAAGAGTGGGATACGGGCATCTGAAAAGGGCAAACAATAACTACTCGATGGATTGTAACCACATTTAGTAGATACGTTGCCTGGATGTTGATTATTCAAATTTTTTTAAAAGCAGTTCAGACTCATCTTTGAGGCATCTATTCAAACCCCAAGAGAGGGGTTTAGATGGACTTTGCCTGTTCCCCAATTCCCTCAGTTTCTGAATAAATATTGTTTATATAAAAAAAAATGTGAGTAAAGTAATGGTGATTATGCCAAAACAGATCCAAGTTGTGGGCAGTGCATGATAAAAAAACAAACTCTAGCTACACAAATTTTCTCCCTGTTTATTGTTTATTTGAAGCAGTGTAAAATTTCTATGGTGTTTCTTGGCATCAGCAGAATAGTTCCAGTGAAAATGCTAAACTGAATACTGGGAGGTTCTGGGCGCCCGAAAATAAATCACAAATCAATAATTTAAGAACACGCCCCAGCGGCGGACTGTTTACCACTCGGCAACGTATTTTAAATAAAGTTGCTCAGCTCCACAGGTTTGGGTATGTTAAATGGGTAAATGTTGATCTTTTAAAACATTTTTTGACTTATGACTTAAACGTTTAAACTGCGTAATAGAGTTCATTCTTTAATGGTGCAAATTATACAGATTAGATAAATACAATAGTCCAGCTATAAAAGAGTGGGATACGGGCATCTGAAAAGGGCAAACAATAACTACTCGATGGATTGTAACCACATTTAGTAGATACGTTGCCTGGGTGTTGATTATTCAAATTGTTTTAAAAGCAGTTCAGACTCATCTTTGAGGCATCTATTCAAACCCCAAGAGAGGGGTTTAGATAGACTTTGCCTGTTCCCCAATTCCCTCAGTTTCTGAATAAATATTGTTTATATAAAAAAAAATGTGAGTAAAGTAATGGTGATTATGCCAAAACAGATCCAAGTTGTGGGCAGTGCATGATAAAAAAACAAACACTAGCTACACAAATTTTCTCCCTGTTTATTGTTTATTTGAAGCAGTGTAAAATTTCTATGGTGTTTCTTGGCATCAGCAGAATAGTTCCAGTGAAAATGCTAAACTGAATACTGGGAGGTTCTGGGCGCCCGAAAATAAATCACAAATCAATAATTTAAGACTGGCTTCCTTCACCGAAAAGTAAACATTCTACAGGTCACAGATACAGTTAATTTGCAGTTAATAATAAGGGTTTCACCATATTTACAAATGAACAATTTCATTGACACAAATGCATCACCGTGAAAATAACTTTTGACACTTATCATTCCAAAGTTCGGTAGACGTATACATTACACATTAACATCTCATTTCATCAATAACTATGTTATGTAAAATACAGGAATTAACTCGGCTATTGGTGATAGAAATATTCTGGATTTCGATAGTTTTATTCCCACATTCGTTTGTTTCAATATGCAATCCCGTTAAACAAACTTAGCTATTCATATTCCCCGATACCACCAGAACGAAGTAATTGAATTGGATTTCTAAATTAAATTCCTCAAAATTTGCTTGCTGACCCGATTTGACGCTGTACCTGATGATGAAATTTAGCAAATAAAATGACAGACATTGTAGCAACGTGTTCCACGAAATTATGTATTAAATTAATTCTCGGGTGCAGAGAAGCATTAAGATTACGATTTTGTATAGGCCCCCACTTGCATATATAATAACCCTACACAATACATGTGCCAAATGGGATGCCAACACGGAAATCTCTAGTAGAGCATCCTAGCCATTCGTGTACCATGACCACAAAAATGCTAGGATAGGTATTGCGATTCATAATGGTGTGGATTAAAGTTCTATACGATTAAATATTATGTGAATGTCTGATTTGTCAACATCCTACTCAAATGAAATGGGGTTTAACGTCCTACTGTTCTACTCCGACTGGTCTAATGAAGACCTAGAATGATTTCAAAACACTAAGCAAAGTTCGCTTTTGTTAATTGTTGGAGATTTTGTAATACAATGGTCCTTGCGACCAAAGTGTATATTCAACTAATTATTTGGTTCACACTTTCTATAGAGTCAATTCACACCTACTTAATGAATTGAGTGATATATTTGTATTTATAAAACAGTGATATTTTGGTAAAATCCTTACCATTGTCAAAATATCTATCAAATACTATCTTGTTTATGACATGTGTTATAATGTCCCCAACCACCCGGTCTTTGGAGAATGGGGATGTTTATTCCATATTTGGGAAGGAAATTAACGCCAAGGCCAGTCTATGACGTACAGAAATTAGGGGGTTATAAAAGAGGGTGTTGAGCAAAATTCATCAGAGTTCACCCAGATATTCCGAGCAGCTATCATCTATGCTTTATTGAGAACAAGGAAAATCAAAGCCAAACAGTTTAATAATAACTTTGTAGTAACGACCTAACCTGTAGATTTATTTACGGTCACAAAGAAACACATCAAGGAAGTCCGATATTACTACAATTAACGTATTCCCGTCTTCATTAGCCCAGTCGGAGCAGAATAGTAGGACGTTAAACCCCATTTGATTTTATTTCATTTAATGCAGTCTTTCGACTATAGTGGATTGGGTCAAGACCAAATCGAATTGTGATAGTATGAAAATATGTTTTCAAACTTTATATAATTTTCTTTCGAACAAGTTAGACAATCAAATGACTGTATAGAGAAATTTAACAAAAGACAGCCTCCACACTTAACTGCTTTATTGTTCTGTGATATAAAGCTCTTTAATCTTACATGTGTATACTTGTTAGTCTTTCGACATTACTCAAACAGCCGTCACAAATTTCTGAAATAAAGATGACTGTTTTTAAATTCATTAAATTGTGTTGCTTACGAGCTGAAGAGATCAGTTATTTGGAGAAACGTTATAAGGATTTTTCGATTGCGATCATAAAAATCTGAATTTCGAATGCTTTATCCTAAGTCTCCAATGAATATAAAATCTAAGTTTTAACATATTACTCTAATAACTTGCTAATACACAGTACTCACAAGCTTTAACAGCTGAACACGATTTTATCGGTAAACACATTCGGGGTTTTCGAGTCCAAAATGTTTTCCATACACCCAAATGAACAATCTTACGGAGATTTACGTAACGGTATGTACCCTATCGTAAAAATGACCACCAAATGTAGCACCCGACAGTAATTTTAGTAGTGGTTAGAGCTTGGGCTATCATGCAGAATCTAATTTAAAAAGAAACTGGAAGGTACACTTAAAGACTGTCCTAACCAGTCAAATTGACATTTAAGATTGTTAAATAAGAGTGAAGACGTGAATGGATTATTTCTCACCTTATTAGTAACGAAATCTCGGAAATCTCGGTCTTGACACGAATCTTGACCCAAATCGAGCTGAAAATAAAGTATTTATTGGGTTGATCTGATGTGTTATTTCAATACTTAATGGGGAATTATGGGAGATCATATAAGGAGTCGACAGCTCTCGCTGCAATAGTTAAAAATAGATAACGTAAATAGAATATGATGGAAATTCAGTCAAATTGATCCACTCCGAACCGAGATATTACTGTCTGAACCATCGTAAATTTTCAACTGATTTCTTTGATTATGATCAAACTACTTAACTTTGGTTATTATAAACTTACCTTTGTGTTTGAAATCAACTCCCGTTAATTAAAATCCATTGCACAATTTAATATCCCAACGAATACAAAAGTTCTCTCTTGAAAAAATCGAATTCCCACAAACTTATGACAATGAGAAATACCAAAACGGAAGCCGATTACGTCACTCTTCGGGAGAGATCATTTCGTATAAAGGGGTTACAAGATGTCACGGTTTGCGGTACTTTTACGACAATTCAAGTTTTTTGTAATCCCGGCTCGGTATTGAGTTTGGGCGTTCACATACATAACTGCCCGTATTCCTTTATTTTGTTACCATCTTTAACATTCTAGTAAAATCTCTGCAAAGTTTATAGCTTTTAACTTTTGAAATAATTTGTTTTAATCATATGTTTGATTATAGTCGGGTGGATGAATTTTCTTTTGAACACTAATACGACACAAAAACAATGACATTCGTTTTACGGATCTTAAATTTTACCCATGAATATCTTTAATTTGATATATAACATGATAGATCTAACGTACATGTACAGGATATTTAAAATTATGGGGGTATATGCATGTTCCTGAAGCAACGACTATGGGTTTTACAACATCTGATAAGATGTACGTAGTTAAAGCGAGATTAAGCGATGGGGCTATGATGTGATTTAAGTATTATTTACAATAAATTAAAAAAAAATAATTGATATGGAATGTATTTTCATCATGAACAATAAATATTGTACCATATCACAATACGGTAAAAACTGTCTTCAGTTGATATTTTTCGTTGCCCAAACTCAAACGATCGAAATGAGGACGCTTTGTTTTGATTGCAACGTCATGGTTGTCAAAATCTCTGTCATACCCCGCAACAGATTCAATGGTTTCGTCCAACACGGGAGGAAAGCCATGTTGTCTTGAACTCAGTCAAAAATGCAGTAAATACATCAATTTTTTCAAGAGAGAACTTTTTTATTCGTTGGGATATTAAATTGTGTAATGGATTTTATTTAACGGGAGTTGATTTCAAACACACATGTTAGTTTACAATAACCAAAGATAAGTAGTTTGATCAGAATCGAAGAAATCCGTTTAAAATTTACGATGGTTCAGACAGTAGCTTTTGAATTTTAGGCTAGCTTCGATCATCATTACTTAAATCGGCACTATAAAAATCAAAGTCTCGATTATGCGCTTTTACGTTTAATCATCCTTCACAAAATGTATTCTAATCCGCTAAATATCGCAGGCTAGCGATGGCATCAAGAGTTGGTTATGGTCTGGATCAGTTAATTAAAGTCTAATTAATAATTTAGATACCAATTCAGGCCTAAACGAAGACCTGGAATAATCAGATGTAGCTCTTGCATAATGTATGTTTACGAAATCAATACGAATTTATAACGTTTGTTATGAAACATTAAGAGGAATTCGGTGTGTTTGTTAAATGTTGGGGATCACGTGGCTAAGTGGGTAAGACGCTAGCTCGCTAGCCTGGAGGTCGGGTGTTCGATCCCTGCATTGGCCGAGAAAGTTCATCCAGATTTTCCGGCGTGGTTCTCCCTTGTCAGTGATGCAGGACGGAGGGGCTGACAAGGAAAGCTGTCTAGTCGTTCGGATGGAACGAAAAACCGAGGTCCCGTGTACACATTGGCGTGCACGTAAAAGATCCCTTGGCAGTTGGAATTCGATACAAGAGTAGGCCGTAGTGCCGCTGTCCGGGCAAAATTTCCCTCATAGCACACTGTATGGCGTATGCCCGTCTTCATTAGCCCAGGTTAGGAGCAGAACAGTAGGACGTTAAACTCCATTTCATTTCATTTTTGTTAATTGTTATTTCATTTATGGCTTTCTCTGTCGACACGGTAATGGAACGCAAAATAGAGACTTTGGCAAGCGTAAATTCCTGGTCCGTATCCGTATTGATTTTGCATGTGACGTCATCAATGCGTGAGTATTTCCCATACTTGATACTGCACACGGATACGGCAGCACGTATCGAACAGCTTTCATACGGAAAAGGTCCGTATAACATCGTCGTTTTTTTACCTTATTTTTTGCTACTTTTAGACGCCGAAATGTTGTGTCGTAGCGTTTTTATGAATCTATGTGTATCCTAGAACACGAAGATATATATTTGATGTGATTTTAACTAGGATAAAGACTGTAATTTAATCATTACTTATTTTGATGATCTTTTCGCGGAATTTTATTGTTCCTGTCTGTCTGCATACTGGTTGACCTACGTGCTAAATTTAGGGAGGTAGGACCTTGCAAATCTGTAAAAGGGATACTATTTGAAATGATGCCTTAGTGAAACCAAAAACTGCTGTTGAGTCGAAGTCGAAGAGTTTTAATAAGATTCGACACTAATCATTTTTAAATTTTAAATAATTATCGAGCGACTTTACTCCCTTCAGGAATTTGTTGGCTACGTACTTGACTTGTACTGATGTTGTTCATGGTAGATAACTGCCATCATGCTGTAACAGAACTAAACCCAGCTCACCTACCCATACGTACGCGGCCCGAAAATCTGCCCAAACTCTAAAACTACATTGAAGCAACGTGATACGGATGGGAAAAATCCCGCTTGCCAAATGTCTCTAATCAATTGTTTCAACACCTCCTCTGTCTATTGACTGTGTAACAAATTATATCTAGGTTTACTGCGTATACGGAATGTTGGATTTTTTTAGATCTTTCAGGACTACTAATAACTCTCTAAATTACATAAATACTTGAAACAAAAAGAAATATTTGTTTGGCCAGTACCCGATTTCGATGGGGGTTGGGTGGGGGGGTGGGGGTATTGTCACCAGTCTCATTTACAGACAACTTTTATCAAGAATCACTACGATGTCATCATATTATTAGATGTACGTTAGCTTATTAAAACATCTTCTTACCATCGTAAACGCCTCTTCGGGGATCTCCAGAACGACGATTGAAGCGATAATTATCGTTGTCTTCACCATCATAATCTGTATGAATAAATAAATAAATAGATAAATAAATAAAAGATATGTATAAGCCCACAAGATCGAAGCTGTTATTATAATGACGTTTGCTGCATGGTCATCTCATAGGAGGATCGCACCACACATAAACAGTTATACTGGTGGAAAAAATATACACATACGGTATACACAATAAACAACAAAAATATAACAAGTGCATAAATATCGAATCATTGATGCTTCAATCATCAAGTTGCAAATTATTGTAAAATCCGTCGGACATTACCACATTACTAGCTGATATATTTGCTGCCGAAGACAAGAAACACATCCATTATGACTAGCACATTATTAACAAAACTTTCAGCGCGTGTACTACTGTATCATTAGATCTCAAATCTATTGAATGACAAAGTTTCTTTTAATTACTGTATTTTCCAGTCTATAATTTTATATCGAGGCGTCATAAGAAATATTTTACCAGCGTAAGTAGGTTTTGAATAGATAAAACTAATTAACCGAAAGGATATACCGTTATTTTAAATTCCGGTGATCTCACAGGTTTCAATTTTCTTGTGTTTAGGATAAAAACGAACACAATTGCTGTTTTGTTTTGTGTGCCCGGGTAACGATAATTTAAGTTGTCTGTCCAGTGAAATAAACTTACAGTTGTCGTTGTCATGTCCATCTCGTCGTCGTCCTCCCCATCTTGAAAAATCTGAAATTTGAAATGAACACATTGATACATTCTAAAACGGTACTGTAGAGCATGGCTCTGCCACAAATTTTACATCTGTATTCAGATAAGGTCGTACACAATGAAGAACCCTATTGAAATTGAAAACTATTGATGTATATCGACAAATAGCCTAAATAATATATTCAATAATTAAAAGACAATGCTGCTGTCAACTGTTTCTTTTTTTGGGAGGGGGTGGGGGGAGTGTCTGTGTATCGGTACAAGATTCGTTTTCTTCTCATGTGTAATGAAATGAAATGGGGTTTAACGTCCTACTGTTCTGCTCCTATACTGGGCTAATGAAGACGGGTACGTACTAAACCTTTAGTAATGCAATGCATACGCATCTAACTTTGCATATAAGGCGAATACAAGAAAAAATCTTACCATTGTCGCCGTCATCATGTCGGTTAAAACGATCTGTAATAGAAAATGATTCTCACATGAATCTCTATGACGAAGAAATAGAGAAAATATTTCCGATCTATTTAATATAGATAATTATTTGGGTACACTCGAAATGAAATATATCGTGTTTAATACATCTTTATAGAGCAATGTTGGAGCTCGTTTATAAGAATGCCAATCTACTTCCATGATTATTGAACTCGGCTGATAATGTGAAGATCATTACTCACCTCTGTTATAAAATCCTAGGGCGACAGGAGATAAAATCAAAAAACAGAACAGAATCAACAGCTTCATCGTGACAGAATTGCTGAAATAAAATTTTAAAAAATATAATAAAATTGAATGGGGTTTAACGTCCTACTGCTCTGCTCCGACTGGGCTATGAAGACGGGACAATACTTTAAAGTTTGTCCCCGGAACACATTTTTGGATTGCTACGCACCCAGCCCGACATATATGAATTTCGAGTTACCTTTGGTATAATAAGCATCAAACGTATAACAAAAATAACCACGAATCGAAAAATAATAAAAAATAAATAAAAAGGAGGATATGTAATCTTGTAGGGGTAAATAATATTACGATACTATATAATAATTAATAAATGTTTATTGCATGGAGCCAATTTAATATCTCCGAACCGTGGAGTGTTTACTCTTGATAGGGTTTAAAACAATGAAAAACAAAATTATCCAAATTTCCTATTACCTGTAAGCAAAGTGTTTACAATGTTTCAGTAACTGGTGCAATAAATCTGATTTGCAGGAGTTTTTTAAATGGTGAACGAGCAAATGGGCAGGGGGGGGGGGGGGTGACGATAAATACGCACATCAAATGTGGGTGTACAAAAACAAAAACGTGCAAAAACGAAATTCAAACTGGAACGGACTTGTAGTCATCGTACACACTGTTTCGACCCCATTGTCCTAATAATAACTAGTTTTAAAAAGGGCTATAACGTCCTACTTTTCTGCACCAACCGGATATTGAAGCAAGACATACCGTGTGCTGTGCTATAACGTCCTACTTTTCTGCACCAACCGGATATTGAAGAAAGACATACCGTGTGCTGTGCTATAACGTCCTACTTTTCTGCACCAACCGGATATTGAAGAAAGACATACCCTGTGCTATGAGTAACAACTGTTTAAGGACAATATTGGTGCCAGTCATTATCACATATGTGATAGAACTGGTTAAACACGTTCCAAATTTTATTTTATCACAGATATCATGGCTACGATAGATGCGTAATCAATGTTTCAACAATCGGAAGTGACGAACGCAAAAGGAAAACACGAGTTATCCCTCTATATAACTGACTGAAGTGACTGGTAATAACAGATACATGGACGAATGTCTGCTCACTAATAATTCATTCGAAGACGAAAAGTTGTTGTGTGAGACTGTGAAAGGATATCTGACAATTCACAAAAAATTTATAAGCATAGAATGAATAAACACACGTGAATGTACGGACTGTTTCTATTTTTCTCGTGTTCTCTTATCTAATGACATTTAATTACTTTTTTGAATTGGTCTTCGAAAGAATTATAAGTGAGCAGAAATTCGCCTATGAATCTGTTATCACTCGTTACTTCAGCCAGTTATATTTAGGGATAACTCGTGTTTACCTTTTGCGTTCGTCACTTCGGATTGTTCAAGCATTGATTACGCATCTATCCTAGCAATGATCTCTGTGATAAAATAATATTTGGAACGTGTTTAACCAATTCTATCACATATGTGATAATGACTGGCACCAATATTGTCCTTTGAGGGTTATTTTCTGTGCACGTGCACGTTATACACGGGACCTCAGTGTTTGGTACCGCTCGAACGACTGGACACCTTGCTAGACCATACGCCCGGTTCTACTGACAGGAGAAATCTAGGGGAACTTTCTCCGCCAACACCGTGATCGAACCCTGGATCTCCTGATTAGTGAATCAACGGCGTATTCACGGCACCACCGTGGCTCAAACGGGTTTAAGATAAAAGTAATATATGTACATGTACATTAAAATAAAAAAAGAGCCATACTTACGATGTAGAGGCTGAGAAAAGGTCTTCGGTGTAGTGAGATGCACATATTCAAACATATTTATATACGCGCAAGGCACACCCTAATCATTTTTGTTTAAAGCGATCAATCTCAATTGCTCATCATATTCACATAAAACCTGTAGTATCAACCTGTCAAACATCAAGTGATAATGGTGCATTGTAAAGTTGTATCAATTTTGGTGTTTTGTTGTATGTTACATATTAGAACGCACGTGGAAATTGGTAGAAGCTAATAAATTCAGAGAAATACAATAGTACAATGTTATTTTCGTTCCGTGTATTCGGGGCGTGTCCAGGAAGTTGAGCAGCGGGGGGTTTTGAGTGAGGTCTAGGGGATTACCCGCGAATTTGATAAAATTAGGAGCTCTGAGACTATATTTTTACTCATTTAGGTACATAAATGTTTATTATTAAAATACAGTGTTCACAAAATGGTGGCAAGGCTTCGCATGTTACAAAATCGACATTGCAAGGAACTAACAACAATACCAAATAAAGTGAATGGAGTCTGCGGCCAGCTATGTTTAAGAAAAGCGGTTTCTGCGTAATACCCTAATAAAAGCCAAGTGAATGTATTGATAATTAAAGTCTTTTAAATATAATTAATTCTCAGAACATTCTGGCTAGTGGTTTGATCCGGTGTCCGCGAATCAAAATCTGCGCATTACTGTACTGTATATGCCTTTAAAAAGAAATGCCTTTAGATTAATATTTTTGAAATAAGTATGTTTTTAAGTTAGTCTCAAAGCTATGGATGGAAGAGGACTCTGGAAAAGTTGATAAAAGATCATTCAACATTTTGGCCGCTCTGACGGAGAAAGCATATTCACCAGAACGTTTATTGTATTTGGGAATCATCAATATATTAACATCACTTGGAGAACGAAGGTTGGATTGCCGGGGAATATGGAAATCAAATAGTTCTTTTAAATAAGTGGGCGCAGAGTCAGAATAAATTGATTTAAACACATTCACAAGAGCACAAGGTAAAAATTTATGGACACACAAGAGCTTTAAATTGTACCCTCGCTCGAACCGGAAGCCAGTGGAGTTTCTGTAACTTAGTTGATATATGATCATATTTTCGTGTTCTAGTTATGAGCCGTGCAGCATTGTTTGTGCTTTTTGGAATCTGTTTAAAGCTGTTTCTGGTGCTCCTAATAGAAGGGGATTTGAATATAGTCCATATGCGATGTTACTAATGCTCTCACAACATTTGGCAGACATCGGTATTAACGTTAGTGCGTAATCTCGAAATAGCTCTCTTTTGAAGATGTATTTTCCGTATGATACTGCTGGTTTGGGGAAATTAGAACATAATTCTTCGGTCACATAGCCAACATTCTTAGTCTGCTTCTTAGGAGATATAGAGCAATCACCGACGTCAATTGAGTCCGCTTTAAACTATTTTCTGTATTGTGCTTATGATATGACAATAAATTCGGATTTGTCATCGTTAAGTTTTAGCCTATTTCTGGCCACCCATCCTTGAATGTCTTGAAGACAAGCCTCTAGTCTACTAATAGAATTCTTAGAAGCAAGATAGTTGTTGTGCTGAAAGTAGTCATATATTTGGGTGTCGTCAGCAAAGCCGTTGTTTTCTACCACATGTCCCTATGATGTGACCAACTGGAAGAATGTATAGGGGACAAAGTAGAAGCCCCAAGAGAGATCCCTGTGGAACACCTATTGTAACAGCACAGGTGTGAGGCACAGACCTGTTTATTTCCGAACTTTGTGTTCTATCTTGAAGATATGCCTTTATCCATGACAGTGTAGTACCACAGATCCAAAATGAACATTCCAGCCCTTGAAACAGAATACTATGATCTATATTATCAAAGGCAGCACTGAGATCCAAAAGTACTAGGTGCACAGCTAGATTCTTATCCAGTGCTAGGCCAATATCGTTATTAAATTTAAGTGTTGTGACAGATAATTCGAAATTTGAGAAGCAATAACTCTTTAAATAACCTTGCCGATGAATGGTAAGTTTGGAAACAGGTCGGTAATTCTTATACAGCTGAGTATCAAGGTTTGGTTTCTTCAACAAAGGTGATATAAGAGCTGACTTTAAGCATACAGGAACAGTACTAGAGGTTGCAGAATGATTAACAATGCCAGTAATGATTGGAAGGAGAACCCCCAATACTATCTCCTCTTTTAGAAGCCAGGTTGGGAGAGGTTCACAGTCGCTAAGTGGGTAGGATGCTGGTTCGCTAGCCTGGAGGTCGCGTCTTCGATCCCTGCATTGGCCGACAAAGTTCGTCGGGATTGTTCGACGTGGTTTCTCCTCGTCAGTGGCGCAGGGCGGAGGACCTGATAAGGACAGCCCAGTTGGAGCAGAACAGTAGGACGTTAAGCCCCATTCCATTCATACATGTTAAAATTGTTGGGAGAGGGATTATATAGGCTTTGGCTGTTTCCAAATCTTAAAATTAAATAGAATAATGTTTATAAAAACAGATATGAGCAATTCAAATTTTGATATAAACTTTTTGTTGGAATATCTATTAGTGGTAGTAGGTGATTTCGTGCGGAGGTAAACAGTCTGTGAAGTACAACACTTGCCACTGTACCTGTGTATCGCGAATTATAAACCGAATGTGTGAAGACAGTTCATACATATCACTCAAAAAATTTTCAGTACAAATTCAGTTGATTCACGCTCGATTTGCTACTAAACAAACCCATCGGTTTATTTTCTCAACAGTGTGACCCGAAGTGACCGCGGATTTATTGACCTTGTATGAACTTATCCATAGCTATATCCTTACACCGAGAGAAATTATCTAGTCTCGGTGAAAAGAACCATGGTCATCTGGTAGAAAATTACTTTTGTATTTTTTGGAACGGAAAACAGTGTTTTTAGAAGCAAACTAACCTGTCGCACATGAGGAAGTCATTATACTAATAATAAAAGGCGAGACCTCTTTTTGCGGCGCAGGCTTATCACTGAGTAGTAAACCGTCCACAAACAATAATATAGGAAGCCTAGTGACGAGTGTAGTAAGTAGGCTATAGACTATAGGTTTGAGTCGAGATTACTCGCTTTCAGTTCACTCTGTTTTTGCGATAACCAATTATGTGAGAAATACCATACTGACATTTGGTTTTTAAAAGTTGTACGCGAACTAAATGCGTTTGTTAGATACTGACAGAGCAGCCCCGAGTCGAACAATCGCCGCCCGAGCTGTCTTCGTCAGCTAGTTTCACAATATCGTGCAATAGGTGTATTAATGTGATTTTTAGGTTTAACCCCGCAAACAATGCCAAAATAGTGTTTTCACTGCTTACAGAAAACTGAAATTTAAAAAAAAATTTTTTTATGAGGGTGACCCTCCCTATCGAGCTGCCGCTCGGTCTGCGCAGCCTCATGCCTGGCACATACTGTCAACATTGTATATTTTTCCGTTTCCGCCCTTCCCCCCACAATATATATTTCACGGCTACGTTGCGACGGTACCAGCATACCCAGTTGTTGACACCCATTACATCACTCCTGTCTAACAAATCATAAAGCTGTGGTGTTACGGTGGCGGCATAGTATTTCACCGTAACACCACAGCCACTCTAACCATTCATAATACATCTAACTATCCCTTTACAGCACTTCACTCCCTACACATTTCCCCTCGTCCTACTTTCCCAAACGTCAACAACACATCTCATACATCCAGTTCGCTGATTAAACCTTGTACCACGTCTACTGGATAATATTCGCGGTTTATTAATGAACTGATCTCATTCTACACACAATTCGTTTATAACAGTAGATTCATTTTCGGTTAACCAAGTTTCTGTAATAGCAAGACGGTCAATACGGTGATCTATAACAAACTCAGGCAATAGTTGTGTCTTATTTCTGACAAATATAACATTATTAGAGTTGACAGGAATTTAAGGAATGTCATAGGTGTGATAAGGTCTGTTGCAAGTTATAATAGATATATACTTTTGTTTTCGTCTTCCAGCTCTTTTGTTGTTGTTGTTGTTTATTAATGATTTAACGTCAAATACATTAAATGTAATATTATGGACAGGTTGATTTAATTAAATTATTTACACTTAATGGGTTGAAAAATGGTAAAAACACAAACTAAAATCGTCGGTGTACATGTATATCAAAAGTCACGTTAAAATTGGTAAAAACACAAAATAAAAAGTCCTTGTATATCAAGAAGTCAATTTAAAACGCACTTATAATCGCTGTTGTGAGAAGTCCTTTAATACGATTCACAGCGTTAGCGATTAAAGCATCCCATTGGGGTTTTTCTTGCGCATGACTCTTCCCTGATACAAGTTACAGCAACACAGAACAAAGCAATTAAAACAAATTAAAACATTTATAGAAATAACAAATGACATTAAATTTTTATACATAAATTAAATTAAATGATATGCACTGTCACTGTTAATAATGGTTGTGTAGGTCTGTATTCTTTTTGTCATTGTTTTCCATATTCTTTTTGTCATTATTTCCCTAATTTATTATTATATTAAATCATACAGAAGGCTGAACCGCCATACTGCCCTACAACAATAGTTCCTTCCTATGTAACTAGATATGTAGTTCCCTATCTTAATGTCAATTTATTCTGATATTATTAAAGCATGCAGCTGGCTTAGCCACCAACCAGTTATCTGTCCATGACTATTGTTCTTAACAATTAATTCCCGTTTTGCTATGAATTTTGAGATCGGTTCATAAATTTTATATGGCATATTCCGAGAGGGGAAGAATTTTGGAGGGTATATTGAAGTTTGGCATCTTCCATTAAACCTCTTTCTTGGAGTCTTTTCTATTTCAATGTATTGCACGCAATGACGACATGATTAACGGTCAGAATGTGACCGTATTAGCACTTAACTGGTTTATATTTATGGTCGGTAATTAAATCTTTAGTTCTCAGTCTTAAGCCACTTATTTTGCGAGATGGGTGATTGACCTCAGTCTTTACAACCAGATCGTTATTTAATTTGAATCTAAAAGTATCTGCTGTGGCTAACTCA